TGATTTCCCCTTTCCCTAATTGGGTTTGTATGTTTAGATTGCTTAAAGCTCTCTACATGTAAATTTGGTGACATGTGATAAACTACGAGACATGACATATAAATATTTGTCAAGTCATTCAAATGAAATACATTAATAGTACAAAAAACTAACGAAAGAACCAACTTGGTCTATCAGAGACAGATCTGAAACTAAAAAAAAAAAAAATAATATGATGAATCAAAAGTGTATTTTAGTGTTCTTATTTTCTAGACATACACCTTTGATCAAATAGTTTTACTTGGTTGAATCGGAACCTGTTTAATTTTAGTGCTATGTAAAGTCCTTCACGAATCTTCATTAAATGACTTTGGTGGCAACACTCTAATTTACAGGGAACTTGGAATTGGATTAGTACCATACAGTCCCCTGGGGCGTGGATTTTTTGGTGGCAAGGCTATCACAGAAAGTGTACCTGCAGATAGTTTTCTGGTATGGACTTAATTATCCTTGATTTCTGAATTCTGATGACAGTTGTTGGCCTTTTCATTGAATCGTTGTTCATCAACATCTCTTTTCACCAGGCAATTCAACCAAGGTTACAAGGGGAGAACTTTGACAAGAACAAAATCATATATTCTAAGATAGAAAAGTTGGCAGAGAAGTATGGATGTACATCTTCACAACTGGCTCTTGCATGGATTCTTCATCAAGGAGACGATGTGGCTCCCATCCCTGGTGAGTTATATGAGTTACGACCAGTATTATGTTATATGAAATTATTTTTTAGCCCCTTAATGTTAAAGCCCATCAATTTCATCCTTGACTTTGACAATTATCGAGCTTCAAATTAATTCTTGACTTTCTAGTGCGTTAGATCAATTATATAGTATGATCATGGGCTCATACTATATACCTTGTCACCTTTTAAGTATGAATTATTTTTGCCTGGGAATTAACATTTATGGAACCTCTCGTGTGTGTTGTAGGAACAACGAAGATAAAAAATCTCGATAGTAATATCGGTTCATTTGAAGTGAAGCTTAGCAAAGACGACATAAGGGAGATTACAGATGCTGTACCAATATCTGATGTGGCTGGAGATTGGACTACTGATACGTTTGTTAGATGTTCTTGGAAGTTTGCTGATACTCCACCAAAAGCATAACTAGATATACCAGTTATAGTTAAGCGCTCAGATCTTTCTTTTCATCGAGTTTCTGGTCTCCTTGCATGCTCCCAAATACAATGGCTCCTCAAAAACTATTGTTACAGACTTATAGGTCATTTGGTGCTGTACGGGTAACTTACAAAACTTATGTTGTATGCGTAATTATGTGCATGTTATTCAAGGATGACACAGACAATGTAGGTGATCTAAATTATGACAAATCATGGTTCAATCAATGTGTGACTGATTATTTTTCGGAGTTCAATATATAGTTCAAACTCGTCAGATAAGATTGGTTTATTGTTTGTTGGTGACTTGGTGTTGTCTGTTGCAGGTAACTGAATTTCCTCACACGACATTCCGACAATTTTTTTTGTCATGACAACCATAAATTATGCTCATAGTCTTTTTTTTTTTTTTTTTTTAGAGGTGCTCATAGTCTTTTATTATAATTAAAATGCTAATAAAGTATAAGATTTTTTCTATTATCATCCGATAAAAAATTGTCATTTATGGTCAAATTAATAACTTATATTTTAACATGTAGATCACTTCAATATAAACAAATTCTTTTTATATAACTATAATATTTTATTTGTATAAATCAGAATAATTATATTAACATGTGATTATGTGTCAAAGAAAATATTAACATGACATCTTCTTGAGTGGAATTGGGCTTGTCCCTTAAGCAAGTTTTTGAATTGGAACCCGTGAGTGAAAAAAGGTAGCGAATAGAATAATTATTTTAAATGAGAGAATTATTTAGAAGTTATTATTCAATCATTCAATAAAAATGTTTTTATGAGTTTTTCTTTAATGAATTTTTTAATGGATTTTTTTTAATCTTTTATCTCTTTCAATAAATTTATAAATGAAATTATTTATAGTTAGAAATAATCTTATATTATAATATAATTCACTCATCATAAATCTAAATTACAAGTTATATGATCAAATATTAATTTATTAAAAAATTTAATAATAATATAATTAATAAATTCATAATTATTTATTTATTTTAAATATAAGTTGTATATTATACAAACTAAAATATTAGCTTATAATAAATAAATTTTAAAATTTACAAATTATATTATAATAAAAAAATTAAATATATAAATTATATTTTGGATTATTTTAATATAAATATTTTTAAATTTTTATGTTATACTTCTATTTGATTGATAATTTCTCTTTATATTTATTTAATATTTTATTAATATAAATAAATATTAAATTATAATAGTTTAATACGTCCTACTACTTGTTTAAGTTATGCATATCAATTCTTCAAATCCCAAAAGTCATCAACAACAGAACATGTATAAAACATGTTAAGAATTATTTTTCTAATATAAGTACTAACGTAAAAAAAAAAAAAAAATCTTTGTCTCCATAAATTAGTTTTAAAAATAATAAATTATATAATAATTAGGTTATTATTAAAAATAATAACAGTTATAGAGTCAAATCTTTAAAAAATAAAAGTTTTATAATTTATAAAAAGATACTTGTAAAAATTAATAGTATACATTTAAACAAATCAATTGTCAACTCATGATTGTACATAACTAAAATAAAAGAGAATTGTTATATTCTCCTAAACAAAACATCCGAAACAGCCTCCGACATTTAAAAAATTGATATTTCTTAATAATTATATTATAAAATATTATTAAGTTCAAACTCTCAAAAGTGTTAGGTTCAGCAACCACATACCACACAACCACTTAACTAATACTCCAACACCAATTGAAGAAAGAAAGCAAGAAAGAGAGATAGATAGTGGCAAAGTTCCAAAGAGGAAGAGAGACAATGGCAGATATTCCTCGAGTGAAGCTAGGAAGCCAAGGCCTCCAGGTTAGTTTTTTGTTCTTTCATTTACTTTATATCCTTCCTTCATTCTCAATCATTTCTGCTTGCTGCTTTTCGTTTTAAGGTTTCCAAGTTAGGATTTGGGTGTATGGGCCTCACCGGAGTCTACAACGATCCTGTTTCCGAAGAGGTGGCCATCTCTTTGATCAAACACGCATTCGGCCAAGGGATCACCTTCTTTGATACTGCGGATGTGTATGGAGCACATGCCAACGAGGTTTTGGTCGGAAAGGTTAACTAATAACAACCTTAACACTTTATCACGTCTCTTTCACTTAAATACTACTAACATATACAAACCGACGATGTTATGTAACACAACATTTTCATTAACTCTCAGGCGCTCAGGGACCTGCCTCGAGATCAAATTCAGATTGCAACGAAGTTTGGGATTGTCAAAATGGAATCTGGTAATGTGATAGTGAACGGTTCCCCTGAGTATGTTCGATCCTGCTGCGAGGGTAGCCTCCAGCGTCTTGGTGTGAGCTACATTGATCTGTATTATCAGCACCGTGTTGACACCACTGTACCCATTGAGGACACTGTCAGTGCTGCCACTAACACTTTTTGTTGCTTCTCTTCTTTATGAGAGCATTATTAATTTGGTGGCTCTGTCTCTGTCTTTGATATTTTGTTTGGTTATCTTTGAATGTTAGATGGGAGAGCTTAAGAAGTTGGTTCAAGAGGGAAAGATAAGGTACATAGGGTTGTCGGAAGCAAGCCCTGACACAATTAGGAGGGCACATGCTGTTCATCCCATTACTGCTCTGCAAATGGAGTGGTCCCTTTGGACTCGTGAAATTGAACAAGATATTGTTCCACTTTGCAGGTACTTCTCCAAGATAATGTTAAATGTTGTTTCTTTGCAAAAATTTGCTGATTTGTGCCCTACTTCCTGTTCACAATTAAGTTTGGACTGCTTAAAGCTCTACCTTAGAAGTGGAACTTGTGGATTATCTTCCATTATGCACAAATATATATAGAGGTTTTAACCATTATTTCACCAAAATAAAATTGAGATTAAGTTGAGTCAGTTTTTGTGTTGACGGGATTCCTGTTTCGAGGGTCATAAGTATTTATTCAGGAAAGAGTTAAGACATTTTCTTTTTATCCTAAGGAAAACATCACCTTTTTGCAAGTTCATAACTCTGTGGGATTGCTCTCGGGAAATCAAACATTTAAGGTGTCAATTTCATTAATTGATGGTTTCTACACCTTTCTTTTTGATGTCTCTTTTGCAGTCTATTTATATCTTTTGGTCGAACTAGAAAATGGTTCTTTGAATCATTGGTGTTGGAGAACTACAAAGTCCCATGTTGGATAAATAATGACAAATCTTTTTTGCAATCTATTTATATTTTCTGGACCCAGAAATTGGCTTGAATTATTGGTGTTGGAGAACTATTTTGTTATATAACCATATTATTGATATAAAATATTTGTCAGTTTTGTCAATTATTAATCTTTATCAGAGAACCTGATTGACCATATTTAATAGTATCTCACCTTCTAACCATGTTTTTTCTACCACAAGACTCAAACTAGAGACCTTATTTAAAAAGATCAAGTTGGTATTGAAGAACTATAAAATCCCACATCCAATATATAAAGACAAATATAAGTGTAACAAGCATGAGAGATGTGTTGTCTAAAAGATTCAAACCATTTATTTGGATGCCAGCCCTCTATGCTTATTAATACACTTTTTGCTTTTCTTTATTTTCTCGGTGTAGGACTTTATAATTCTCCAACAATCGTGTTTATGGTTAACATCTTTAATGGTTGCAGAAATGGTAGCAACATAAACTGCTTTTCTGTGATATCTTTGGACAAGGGTCTTCTACAGTACAGTTTAATTGCACTATGTGCAATTCATTAATATTATAATCTTTGGTTTTAAATGTAATAAAGAAAATTAATGGTCGGGATCCGATTTCTTACAAGCGAAGAAAGTTGTTTATTTCTGGCGATACACTTCTGATCAAATAGTTTTACTTGCCTGAATTGGAAACTTTCTTTCATTTCCTGACTTGTGCATTTCAATGTCCTTCATGAATCTTCATTAAATGACTTTATTGGCAACACTTACAGGGAACTTGGAATTGGATTAGTACCATATAGTCCCCTTGGGCGTGGATTTTTTGGTGGCAAGGCTGTCATAGAAAGTGTACCTGCAAACAGTTTTCTGGTTTGGACTTAAATCCTTTCTTTGTGGTGACAGTTGACCTTGTTCCTTTTTCACCTATATCTCTTTCCACCAGGCATTTCAACCAAGGTTAAAAGGGGAGAACTTTGACAAGAACAAAGTCTTATATTCTAGGATAGAAAAGTTGGCTGAAAAGTATGGATGTACATCTTCACAACTTGCTCTTGCATGGATACTTTATCAAGGAGATGATGTGGTACCCATCCCCGGTGAGTTATTTTCCGCATCAGCATCAAATTTGTTCTGAGTTGTGACAGAGTAATAGTACTATACGAAATTTTTTGAAAATGTATTATCTATAGTAATTTCTTCATTTTTCATCTTGCTTGGATGGGCCTTTTAGGAAATTTCGTGTTTTATAAATTTTTTAACATTCCCTAAATGTTAACAATCCATCTTTTCATCCTTGACTTTTAATATTATCAGTCATTTTTGTTTCCTGATTTTGGTATGCAAGATTCGATTTAATTCTTGACTTTGCTGTGTGTTTGTCAATTTGATCTCTAATACCAAGGATCAAATCTATTTATGATAGTCAATTTTAGTGACCAAATTGACAATGGTTATCAAATTCCCAAAGCACATTGAACATGAATCCTCCTCTCACATTGGATTCACTTTCAATGTAATGTAATGTGGCTGAACAGGAATATAAACACAACCATAAACTACTATTTCCCATGAGAACACAGAAATCACCTCTCTCAGTCGTTCTCTCCTCCTTTCCCTTTGGTGGTCTTCTTCCATTTTGCCTTCCTATAATTGTTGTTGTCATCCATGGCCTTACCATCTAGAGGAATTTGAACTTCTTGCCTACTTTATCCCCCTGGTGCTTTCCTTTATAGCGTTGCTTCGAAATAGGAATTTCTTTCTTGTTTTTTTCATTCAAGAACCCTCTTGATGATGGGTTCATAATATTATATCATGTCACCTTTTAATTACGAATTGTTTTTTGCCAGCGAATTAACGTTTCCGGATCCTCTCATGTATTGCAGGAACAACTAAGATAAAAAATCTTGATAGTAATGTCGGTTCATTTAAAGTGAAACTGAGCAAAGATGATTTAAAGGAGATTACAGATGCTGTACCGATATCTGAAGTGGCAGGGGATCGGACTACTGATGCATTTGTTAAATGTTCATGGAAGTTTGCTAATACTCCACCAAAAGCATAACCTGATATGCCATTATGCACCTTGGAGCTCAGATCTTTCTTTTTTAATCAAGTTTCCTGTCTCCTTGCATGCTCCCGAGTTTTATCGCTTCTCAGTAAAACTGTCATTGGTCCTATGCGGATAACTCGCAAAAGTTATGTTTTATGCTTAATAATGCACATGTTAATGTTATTAAATGACGAGACAGAGAGTGTGATATGAGCCAAGGTATCCATCATTTTGCCTGCCGACGGCGCCGAATCATGATGCATTCAATATTCCTCTGATTATTTTTAAGAGATCCATACATGGTGGATGAATTGAAAAATTCAACACACAATTTTTAGGATAGATATTCTAATATTAATTTTAAAAAATTGAGTTATTCTTAAAATAATGGATTACTTTTCACTTATATTTTTTAATTGTCTCATCTCACTTAAGTTTTTTTTTCTTCTCTTTTTAATGATTTAGGATAGATATGATACTATCTTAGAATAGTGAATTTGAACCTAACTCAATTCTACAAAATCGGTTTGTAAGATAAGGATTATTCTTTTTTATATACTCTTTAATTGTCTTATCTCTGATTAATGTGAGACTTGAATTTTTTTTATAATAATTATTGATCTAATTTAATCTTTTAAAAATTAATTTGTGAAATGAAAATTGCTTCATACTTGTACACATTATTTTGATTATATCATTAATTAATATGAAATATCCTACAATACTTCAAACTTATCAGATTATTTTTAGGATTATAAAATGGTAATCTTTTCAGAAAGATTTATAATTCATGAAAAGAATAAAATAGATATTCAAGTAGTGGTGGGCAAATCTTTCATGTAGGCTGGACCAAGTTGGTATTTTTACAGTTAAGATCAATGTTTTGATGTTGATGGTAGGTAGCTGTAGCCGAGTAATAAAGCTGGTATTGAAGGGCCGTGGCTCATTTGGGACAGCAAAGTTAATGGGAATTATTGCTGCCATGGGTAGATCCAAACGTTTCATCTCCTACTATCAGAATTGTTAGCTATTAAGCATGGATATTGAGCCTCTCCAATTTGGTTGAGTTTCTGTTTTACTAAGGGCGTCATATATGTTAAAAGAAAAGACAAGTGCAAACAAGTAATTCAGAGAGAATGATTAAGGAAATAAAAGAAATACTTTTTTTATTATTTTTATTTTATCGAAATACATATTTATTATAAATCACGAATATTTATTATATCTATGGTGAGTAATATTGTTATAATTTCTTATAGTGTATGTTTTATTAATATTATTAATGCTACTACGACATTTTTCTTCACTTCATTCTGGAAGATAATACATAAATTAAGAAATTTATTAATATCCTCGTTTTAATAATTTTTTATCTTCCGTTATGATTCTAATTATTAATGATTTTTCTCATTATAAATTTGTAAGATCTTTAATAATTGTGTAGAAATAAGAACATAATTGAATATATAACAAATAATTAATATTGTCTTATACTTTTAAAATACTAGTAACAGATAAATAAAAATAAAATATTTACTTTGAAAATAGACAAGATAAAAAAGGGCAGTATTTTATAGTAAAAAATATATTAATACATATAATATCTTTAAAATGTATGTATAAAAAAGTTCTGCATCTAATAAGAATAATATGATTAGTATTTGTTAAAGCGTTAAATACTCTATTAAATGTTTCTAACTATAAATTCATTCCATATAATACTCTATTGTTGTAGACTTATTTTTTTGTTCGGTCGATCATATTTCTCCTCATATCAATTTTAGTTAGGTAAATGCATTTAGTTAAAAAATTAAAGGCACCCACATTCAGCGTCCCTGCATCAGCGTCGTCGTCTCCGTGGCCACCGTCGCCTTATCTCCGTCAGCGTCCACTCCGCCTTCCTCTCGTCACTCGACGCACTCCACGGCAACGTCGGGATCCTCAGCCACCAGCCACGGCCAACACCCACCATAAAGTGGAGGTGTGAGAGAAAAAGGAAAAGAACAGAACACAGAGGCAAAACGGTCATGAAAAGGTTTAGAACATGTTTAGTTTTCAGTTTTAATATTTTAAAATGGACTTTCACAGATTCCGATACTCCAAATGACAAATCAACTATAATTAAAAAAAACGTGGATTAGGTTTAACGTAACGTTTTTCCAAACCTGGAGAGGACAGCGGAGCTTTTCAAATTCAACTTTTTTAATAATAATCCCAACAGTTTTATTTTGTTTCACTTTTACTATCTCTTATATGTTTTAATTTGATTGTCGCTTACAATCTTAAACATTAAATATGTTTTTCTTATTATATTTTTAATTATTATTTATATATTATCTATAATAATTAATTTTTAAAAAATTTATTATAAAAATATAGTGTGAGTTATAAAAAAGTGAAGGTACTTATAAATAATTTACGATCTAACCATTGAATTTAAAGTTTTTAATGTATAAATTAAATTTGCAAATTTTTAAAAAATTAAAAATTATTTGATACTTCATTTCATTAATTCAAATTAATAAATAATCATAAAATCATTTTATACATTAATTTAAATTAATGAAATGAAGTATCAAATGGTTTTCAAATTTTTTAAAAATTTACAGACTTGATCTATACATTAAAAACTTTAAATTCAACGGTTGGATCATTCAAATTTGATGTAAAATATGAGTTATTGAATAGAATGAGTCTAGGTAGACTTACTATGGAGTAAACGGATCCATCCTCTCTCTCTTTCTCTCTCTATATATATATATATATATGTGTGTGTGCATGTTATTTCAAAAAGAATAAGTCTCATATTATTTGGACAACTTAAGTGTTGAGTCTTTATATATCGCGGTGTTTCGAACACTTCAAAAGGGGCAAGCAAAGGGTGTTGAACTCACATACATGAAAATGGGTCTTGTAAGTCCGTTGTAGTTCAAATATGTATTATATTAAATTATTTTAATTGAGGCAAATATTATCAAAAAATAATTATTTTTTATGTTCAAATTAAGAGTTGGCTCAGTCTTTAAAATCTCGTTTGACTCTACCGAGTCTAGTGTCATATTTAGATAAAGTCTATCCAATCTATTTATGGATAAGATTTATCTCTTAATTTTTGGATGGTTTATGAGCTTTCGTAACTCTATAAATAAAGGCATCTGTAACACCATTTGAGCATTTCGAAAAATCTTTCCTCTCTTCTTACTCTCTACTCTTATGGATTCTCATTTCGTCTCTTGTCAATTATGTTCTTCAAATTTTTTAGACGACCCTATTTTCAGGTTACCAATTTGTGAATTTGTCTAAATTAAAGAAATAAATCTTTAATATGATATGATATTTTTTATGAGTTGCTTATGTTGTGATTTAATTTAATCTATTAGCTTGTCAAGGTATATCAAATTGATTCATTTTATTTAACTCTTAAAATAAAAAGCTTATACTGGCTTGGCCTGACTCAATTGGGTAATCTATTTCAATGGCTACCGGATTGTTTCTGGCAATCTATCCAAATTATGTGTGGTATAAACTCCCAATTTTGATAATGTGATTGATTTATTATGAAGAAAGATTAGCGGATCCAAAATCATTTGTTTTTTGAGAAAATTCCAATGGCTTTTGTGATTGACATTATATAAGGAATTGGTATTTTAATTGTACGTATCGTTCCGATTAACGTCTAAATCTATTTCAGTTGAGCGATTGAGAGTGAGATTGGTTGGGCATTTGCACAAGTTGATGAAAGTTGACAATGAATGAAAATCATAATTGGTAGTTAGGTCTCCATCTTTTTTCTTGGATTGGCCTTTGCAAAATTTATCATTTTCCTAACACAATTGACTAATCATTTCATCAGTTAAGCTTCCACGTCTTGTCTTGATTACGATTCATTGTATTTAGTTTCGATAGAATTATGAATTTTTATAAATGTGGAATATATATATATATATACGTGCATAGCACAGAAAAAAATAAAATAAATAAAATGGATGAATCAAATCAACTAATCAACATTTATGGGACCAGGAAATGGGAATGCGTCATACTATATAGTCGGTGCAGAGTCATAATAAAGGATGAAAGCGAAGGATATACTCACGAGATAGATGTGTTATTATTAAATTACTTTAACAACTATTTTAGTATCAACAATATTTATTATACATAATTCAAATTTATAATATAAAATATACATATAAATATTATACTTGACTATATAAATTATATTTAAATTTATATAAATGAAATTTTTAGATATATAAATTATATTTTATATTTATAATAAAAATTATATTATAATGTAAGATTATATTTATTTATTGATAATTTATTTTTTAAATATTAAAAATTTATTTATAAATTATCATAAATAAAAATTAAATTAGATAAAGAACTTAATTATTAAAACTTTGTCAAAAATAAAATTTTAAAAATATTTAGTACAAGATAATTATTTATATTTAATATATAAGACTTTATTTATTTAAATTAAAATATCGATAATATTATAATAATAATAAATAAATAAAAAAACTCTTTGTACAAATGATTTGAATGCAAAATTTACTCAAAGAAAATCAAGCATCTAACTCTTAAACTATGTTTTGCACGATAAATGCAAAAAAGTTCAATTTTATAGTACTAAATAAAACAATAATCGTCCTGAAAAAACTATAATCAAGATTGTTTTCTTATTAACATATAAAAATTAACCATAGATCCAATTTTACTATAATTGAATTTTTATTTGATTTCTGGGATAGTAAAATGACTTTTTTCCACAAAAGATGACAAAAACAATTTATTTTTACAATGATATTTGAATTAAATTAAATTAAAAAACAAAAGACACTTGGCGAATTACATGAGAAGTGTGTAACGTGTTGTACCAACCTGGCTCAAAGTCGAGCTCAATCGATCCCATCAGACGAGCTCGACCGAGGTCACTACTTAATCTAGTCCAACTAAAGTAAATATATTTAACACCGAGGTGTCACATCAGACAAGCGAGATCAGTGATACACCTCGGCACATTAACAACACCAAACACGACTCAATCGAGGATACCCCTCAGAAAATAACTATACAGCAGTTACACGGTTACTCGGAAAACCACGAAAGGTAGTGATATAAGCATTACACCAGATTGGACACACTACTAACTTATCTTCGGAGTCCTTTTTGCAGGTACCTCCAAGACGCTCGAACAAGGAGATCAGAGAGAGAGGAGACACCCCAGCGACCGATCTCATACGATCTTGGTTGGACCAGAACCAGGAAGACGACTTATCCGAGTTAAGAGTCCAACCTGATTCGTGTAAGTACATCTGGCGCTAGAAGGAGGGCTTGGTAAAAAATTTCCTTCGTCATCCTTATGGTTTCAACCCGAAGCCAAGCCAACACAGCGACGAGTACAGCTCATAGAAACACATCAAATATGGAAGACAATCCGGTTCTACGACGGTTACTCGAGCAGATAGAATTGATGCGACAGTAACATGCAGAAGCAATGGAGAATCTTTGTAAGCAACATGAAGCCGATCTCCAACAAATGCATGTTGAGCATGCTGCTTTCAGAACTCAATGGCAGCAACATCAGCCACCACACACACATCATGCCAGTCATGTCTCCCCTGCCACCGAAGAACATCATTCTTCCCCAGATCCTACTTATTCATCAAACCCAACTCGGACTCATCGTTCCGAACATACCCATATCAGTCGTCCGGTTGACGATCACCACTCGGTTCGTCGACACCCCTTTGTTGATGGAATCATGGAAGTTCCCCTTCCAACTACCTGGAAGTCGTTGAATATTGAGCGATATGATGGCACTACAGACCCCGATGAGCACATCGATGCCTATATCACTCAAATCAACCTTTACACAAACGGCGATGCCATCATGTGCCGTGTATTTCCGACTTCCCTCAAAGGCGCCGCTCTTAGTTGGTACACCCAACTGCCATCCAGATCGGTTGACAACTTCAACACCTTGGTATGACTTTTCTCCGCCCAATATGCCACTAGCAGACCACATCATATCACATCAGCCGCGCTCTCAAATTTGCGACAACAAGATGATGAGTCTTTGAGACATTTTATGGAACGTTTTGCCAACGTTTCTATAAAAATCTGCAATCTTAATTCGGAGGTCGCCCTTCATTTCATGCTTATGGCACTCAAACCTGGGCCATTTGTTGACAGTCTTTGCCGACATCAGCCGGTAAGCATGGATGAACTCAGAGCACGTACAGCTGGCTATATTCAAATGGAGGAACATGCCGAGTTTCGTAACTCTATCCGTGACAGTTTCACCACTAAGGGCGAGTCTAGTACCAGGGAAAGCTCAAAGGCTCATATTGATCAAAGATCAAAAAGACCTCGTCAATCACGAGGCCCTAGGTATGAATTTTACACACCTCTCAATGCTCCTCGTGTTAACATTTTGGAGGAAGCTAACCATGCAGATTTGATCTCTCTACCCCCATCGGCACACAATCCGGTCAACGCTGATAAGAGCAAGCATTGCCGTTATCATAGAAATCACGGACATACAACAAATGAATGCTGGAGCCTCAAAGATCAAATTGAGGAACTCATTCAAGCTGGCCAACTTGGACAATATATCCAACGCGGCCAAACTTCTCGTGGGGGCTTCCGAGGACGTGGAAGAGGACGTGGCAGATTTCCTGGCCGATATCAAGGACGATATCAGAATTATCAAGGACGATCTGAACAAAGCCATTTTCATCAAACAAACACGCGCGAGGAGAGCAAACCAAGTACAAACAGCGCTGACCCGCAGCATATGGATAAATCCTCAGAGGGAAATAACATACGTGGCGTCATCCATACCATCCCTGGAGGGTTTGCAGGAGGAGGAAGTTCTAACTCAGCCAGGAAGCGACATCTACGCATTGTCCAAAACGTCAACAATTTGCATAACTCGGGATCTAAGTCAGAAACTCCAACCCCTCCTATCATTTTCACAGATGATGACTATGAAGGTATCAGTTTGAACCAAGACGATCCAATGGTCATCTCAGTTGAGGTGGCCAATTGGGAGGTCCAAAAAATGTTGAAGCTTGACATTCCTCACAGTATGATTTAACCATACTCCGAGTCTCTCGTCGGGTTCGCAGGTGAGCGAGTTCATACTTGTGGTTTTATTGAATTACTAACTTCTTTTGGCACAGTTCAAAACTCAAGGAGAATCCTGGTGAAATATTTGCTGGTTGATGCTGCCACCTCTTATAACATCCTTATCGGGAGACCAACGTTGAATCAATTAGGAGCAGTCGTATCAACGCTTCATCTAACTATGAAGTTCCCAGACACTGATGGACACATAATAGCTGTAAAGGCTAATCAAAAAATTGTAAGGAAATGCTATGCTGAAAGTTTGAAGATTACACCCCTAAATCGTCAACCCGAGGTGTCAGCTTCTCCTGTCATTGCTCACATCGGTACAAGGGAAATGGCCGACTTAGATCCCCGAATTGATATGCATGACCACCAACCTGATCCCATTGACGAGTTGATTGAGTTTCAGATTGGCAAGAAGCCCAACCAATGCACCAAGATTGACAAACATATCGAACCTGATGTCCAAGGTAAAATCATGTCAATACTTTATGAAAATGCTGATCTTTTTGCATGGAGTAGTGCAAATATGTCTGGGATAGATCCCAATTTCATTTGTCATCGGTTAGCCATCCACAGAGAGGCACGACCTATATCTCAGAAGCAAAGAAAAATTGGCGGTGAAAGAAGGGAAGCAGTCAAGGCCGAAACGCAAAAGCTTTTGAATGTCGGGTTCATCAGAGAAATCAAATACACCACTTGGTTAGCCAATGTGGTAATGGTTAAAAAATCTAATGGCAAATGGCGTATGTGCGTTGATTACACTGATTTGAATAAAGCCTGTCCAAAAGATGCTTATCCACTTCCCAGTATTGACAGATTGGTTGATGGAGCTTCAGGGTATGCCATGCTCAGTTTTCTAGATGCCTATTCAGGGTATAACCAAATTTTGATGTACCCTCCCGATGAGGAGCACACTACCTTTATCACGGAACAAGCCAATTATTGTTACCATGTCATGCCCTTTGGACTCAAGAATGCAGGAGCCACCTACCAAAGACTCGTGGGCAAGGTCTTCGCCAATCAGATCGGACGTAATCTCGAGGTGTATGTTGACGACATGGTCATCAAGACAAAATCCCCTGATAATCATGTCCGAGATCTGGAGGAAATTTTCAAGCAAATTCGCAAGCACAACATGAGATTAAACCCGGAAAAATGTGTTTTCGGGGTTCATGGAGGCAAATTCTTGGGATTTATGATCACCTGTAGAGGAATTGAAGCAAATCCCGACAAATGTCAGGCGTTGATCAATATGAGAAGTCCAAAAAATTACAAAGAGGTGCAGAGGTTGGCAGGAAGACTTGCTTCATTATCTCGGTTTATTTCGAAGCTGGCAGAAAAGGCCAAGCCTATCTTTCATTTACTTAAAAAGCCAAAAGAATTCTGCTGGAGTGACCAATGTGAACAAGCTTTCACCAACTTCAAGCAATTCCTGTCAGCTCCCCCCATCTTATCCAAACCGACTTACCAAGCTGATCTCCTATTATACCTTGCAGTGGCTGACAATGCTATTAGCTCAACACTGGTATAAGAGAATGCCAAAACACAAACTCCCATATACTTCATCAGTCGGGTATTAGACTGTAAGTCATATGTGCAGAAATGCAAAGCCTGCCAAGAGTTCGGCAATCTACACCAGTTACCTCCGACAACTCTACATTCAATGCAGTCAGCATGGCCCTTTGCTTGGTGGGGGATTGATATCCTTGGTCCTTTTCCAGTAGCCGAAGGTCAACTAAAGTTCCTATTAGTTGGCATTGATTACTTCACAAAATGGATTGAGGCTGAAGCTTTAGCCAAGATTACTGCGCCCAATATCCAAAGATTCACGTGGAAGAAAATTATCTGTAGGTACGGTTTACCTCATGCTATAACCACCGATAATGGCAAGCAGTTTGTTGATAAAAATTTTGAGTAATTTTTGGGGCAACTCGGAATCAATCACAAAGTTACCTCGGTGGAACATCCACAAACGAATGGACAAGTTGAAGCTGCCAACAAGGTTATTCTTAGAGAACTCAGGAAAAGGCTTGGCTCGGCAAAAGGAGAATGGGTGGACGAGCTCCCTGGTATTTTATGGGCCTATCATTGCACACCACAAACCACCACTCAAGAAACCCCATACAGATTGACTTATGGATCCGATGCTATGATCTCAGTGGAGGTCGGGGAACCAAGTCACCGAAGATTAACTTTCGATGCAACTCAAAATATGGAAGCCCTAAGAACCGATCTCGACCTCATAGATGAAGCCAGAGAGGGCGCCCGAGTTCAAGAAGAGGCATGCAAACTCAGAGCATCTCGGAGATACAATTCCAAGCTTAAGCCGAGATCGTTCCGAGAAGGGGACCTTGTTTGGAGAGCTGTCAGAGACGCTAGAAAAGACATATCAGCGGGCAAATTCGCAGCTAATTGGGAATGTCCATTCTGTATCTTGGAATGTCTACAAAATGGTGCATACAGACTCATAGAGTTGGGTGGCAAAGTTATCCCAAGAACTTGGAATGCTACTTATCTGAAATTTTATTATAGTTGAAATGTTGTAAACCCAGGTATTGTACTCTTTTTCCTACTTCAGTCTTTTTTCCCAATAAAAAAGAAAGGGTTTTGGCTGAAGAGGTTTTAACGAGGCATGCCTGAGGAAGTATTTTTAATGTATAAATTAAATTTGCAAATTTTTAAAAAATTAAAAATTATTTGATACTTCATTTCATTAATTCAAATTAATAAATAATCATAAAATCATTTTATACATTAATTTAAATTAATGAAATGAAGTATCAAATCATTTAAATAGATTTCAAGAGAAGTGAATCCAAATTTTCAACAAAAAAAAAAATTACTTAGTAAAAAAGTGAGAAAAAAACAAGAAACAAAAGAGAATTAGCAAAAAATAAATAAATATTTGTTTTGTTTGGATAGACAGAAATAAAAAAATATATAATTTAGTTAGATAAAAAGAACGAGGTTTTCTTAAAAATAATATATATTTATAATGATATTACAATTATAATTTTGCTTATATATCTCACACTTTTTTAAAAAAAAATTTCCTTTGTCAATGATTATTGAAAGAGATTTTTTATTAGCCTTGAGGCGTTTCCATCAACCAAACAACATAAAACAATTATTTTGACTCCCACAAACATGTTGTGATTTGAAAAAAGAAAATCAACTTTGTCCTTGGAGAGATCCAGAAAGAACCATGGCTGGCTCCAATTCCAATATGACTTCATCTTTGATTAGTTTAGCGAGTTCCTCCTCTTCCGGCAGCGTCACGGTCACGGTTCTTGAAAAGCCTCCTTCTCTCGAAGGCATGACGAGGATCAAACCACCACTCCCCACATTCCCCACGCGGCACGAAACATGAAGCGGCTTCTCGTCAGCGCAAAACGAGGGCGCATAGAGCAACGACGAGGTTTGGTCTCCCTCACGGGTCAGCAAGTGCTCCATGCAAACGCATGTTAACTCAGCCCCATACTCGTAGTTACTCCCTCCCTCACTTTCCTCCTCCAAGTGGGCATGCACAGCACTCACCACATGCCCCAGTTCTTCTCCCTCCACTTTCCGCGAGACCCTTGAGAAACGCATGGCGTTGCCCAAGTAGCCAAGAGGAAGCGACTCTTTCGCCCTGAAGTCGGTGCACAAGGTTATGTGGCCGTCGCTTTTTATGCGCGTCCAGAACACAGCGGCGAGGAGGTCGAAGGGGGTGGCGTTGGGACACGTGTGGCGGAGGTCGGAGAGGCGTTGCTTAATGGCTGAACCGGGAAACTTGAAGGTGGCTGTGGGAAGGGTTGCGTTTGTTGGAGATGGAGACTCTGCGTGTGGGAGCGCGTGATTTGGGAGTGGAGCGACTCGAGTGGGGTGGGTGATGGGCACGTGGCGGTGAACTTGGGTCCATGACTCGAAGAAGGAGGCTAAGAAAGTTAGGTCTGCCAGCATGTGAGTACAACTTAGCCCTATGGCCACACCTCCTCCTTCGAAGCTGTTTATCTGCAACGTACCAATCAATCTATTTCTATCAGTATCATCAATTACCTAATTTCTACCATATATAGCAACATTCTTCTGATGGCTAATAAGAGGACTCCAAATAAAGAAATAAAATGAGATCCATATTGTTAAATCAATACCTTTTGTATTTCTCATAAATAGTATGACCAAGAGTGTCTAGTGTCAAGTATTTCAAATCGAAAAAAATAAATAACTCTCACTCTATTTATGAATCTTTATGTAGTCCTATTATTTTGTATTTTATAATCAATAAAAAAATGTGTTGAATGCTTCGTTATTAGCACTTCAATGTGAGCGTGGGAGTGATAGGGTACCTGAATTCGGAAGGGTGGCCATGTGGAAGGATCGTGATGAGGAGGCATATGATCCCAAGCAACGAGAAGCTTCTCCTCCGATCCAGAGGCAGATCTGAGCCATTGATGAAGGGTGGCATCCACCGTGGCCTTTATGACCCTCACGCCCGCATCGTTACACTTAACCTCCCAGCCACCATCCACCCCTGGGCCCAACCGGCCCGTCAAAGTTGGGCTCAGAGTCAGAACCTCACACAAGGATTCCCTCAGCGGGTCCAAATCGAAGGACTCAAACCACTTGTCCTCATTCTCGTAGTAGAAAATGACGTGGAGAGTGTGGGAAGCCATGGCTTGGTCCAGCGCGGATAGGGCATGAACCTTACCCGAACTAACGGGCTTGCTTGACACAACCGTTAGTTTTGAGTTCAGAGTTACCCTGGAGTTGGACATAATCGTTTATGCTTTCACCACAAACACAAACACAAACACAAACACAAACACTTTATGTGTATTTGGTTACTTTACATAACATAAACAAACTACTATATTTGTAGAGCTCTCAAGTCTAACCCTTCAACAAATGGGATGAAATGAAGAATGAAGACTGCTGATTATTCTTAAATGGACAGTTGAGAGTTAAAGAGGACGGTGGTGGTTGGTGGCTTTATTTATGACTTACCACTCCGATATCATATAATGCTTTTCAAATCTTCTAACCACTATGCCAATTTATGTGGGATATCATTCCATGCTTTTCAAATCTTTACAATTTTTACTTTTTTTTTTTTTTTTTTGTTAACATATACTACTAGCAGAAACTTTTGTTCCGAGTTTTACTAATACTAAAATTTAAGTAAATTTTAAAAATAAAAATGTACGAGCTATATTAAAGGCGAGTAAAGTATTTTTGTAATATTTTTTATCTTTAAAAATAAAGTGAATAAGCATTGTATTATTATTTTATACTATTTTTAATTATTTATATTAAATTTTATTAAAATTGAATATAAAAAATATTAATATTTTATTATATTTTAAAAATACATATTTCACTAATTTTGATTTATATCAATAAGATATCAAATAATTTTGGATTAATATAAATTTATGTATATATAATTTAAATAAAAGAAATTTTAATATTTATTTTAATAATCATGTTATTGGACCAAATTTAGTATTATTCGGACCAATAATCTATTAATAAAAATAATAAAAATTACAATACTAACTTACCAATTACTAATTTTTATTGAAAATTTGATTAATTATTTTTAATGAATTATTTCTTTTAATAATATTTTTTTATATATAAATTCGAATCTATTTGTTAAAGAAATCAAGTATCATATCACTCAAATCAATAATTATATAATTTAATCCCTTCTCAAATATTGAAAAATATTTTGCAGATTAAAAGGTGAAGCATAGGATAATAAGATAGTAAAGTTAAAGTTAGTCGGCAGCAAATTACACGGCCAAACTTTATGTGCACTTAAGACAATTAAATATAAGTAATTAGTTCTCTTAATTAAATGTAATTAGAACTTAATTTGTAATTAAATGATCTTTAATTATGAATTCCAATATTAATAATTTTTTTAGATTAGTGAAATGACTAAATTGTGTTTAATAATGCTCTTTCTGCTTGTGAATAAAAGTAATAACAATATAAAACTAATTCAATTTGATTAAGAAAGTTGTTAACATCATTTAATTTTGTAAATCCCATCTTAGAAAAAAAAACTTATTTTTTAAACTATTATTTCTTGAAACTTCATGTTCAACATTACTGTTTTAATTATCAATAGATGAATATTCACTATTAACATTGGTTGATGCAGACAATAATAACTTATCCCTTGATCAAGTTGTATAGGATTTTAACGATAGTAGATATATATTTCATACTAATATTGTAGTTACAAAAAAAAAAGTATGCATATTTGATAAGAGAACCAAAATTATATAATTGAAAATAAGGAGACTAATATTACAAAATAGAAATTATAAAGAGGTCAAATATGCGATTTAATTATCCAATCAAAACTCTTTCGTTTTACAAAAATTATTTTAGTTGGTACTCAAAATTTATAATTAGCGTATTAACCCTCGAGTAAAAATTCAATTTAATGTCTAAAAGATATATAATAGAGGTGACCAATAGGTTTATGAAAGAATTTTTGTGACATCTAGGTCCATAAAGTTAAATTCCATTATACAAGTTAGTCATTTCGTTATATTTAATTACTAACTTTGTTAGTTTCTTAAATAGTCAACAGTTAAGTGTCAAGTTGACACTTATTCTTTATCTCAATTGCATGTTCTCTCTCCTAATAACCTCATATGGACCATAATGTAAGGTTCTGAAACTTTTCAACCAATAATAGACACTTTATCATGTTTAAATATCGTGGTCATGGATGTTCTGGTTAAAATGGAAGGTTATTGGATTTTGTAAGATTTCTTGTAGTTAGATTTTTTTGTCTCAGTCTTCCCTGATTTCTTCGTTTGTTCAAACTACAGGTTTAGAATCTTAAACCCTAAATTATTGAATTATGGGTTTAGTAAAATAAGTGATCGTTCTAAAATATCTTAAATAAGAATGCGACAATTGAATATTAATAATTTTATTATATTTAATTATGGATCACAAAACTTTTCTAGTAGAAATAGGAAAGAACTAAGTGATAATAGTTCTCTCTGTTACTGTGAAAACATGTTTTTGTTGAAAGTTTTACGAACAACTAGAAACTCAAGTATCTTTTTTTTCATTTGTCCTTTGCCAAGGATATTATAATTATGTTATTGATGTTTCTATTTTTTCTTTCCTCTTAATGGTCTAACATTTCATTTTTTTGTTGGGTTACATTGTGGTTCATATTAAGTGATTAGGAAAAAAAATAATCAACTCAAAAAGAGAATACATATCAACGTGACAATTAACTACTGACTAATCATGAGACTAACAAAGTTAGTAACTGAGTATAACAAAATGACTAACTTGCATAATAGTTTTAAAATTTAGGAACCCATATGTGATAAAAAAAAATCTTTTACACACTTATCAATCACATCTACCATCTTTCAAAGATCAAATTGAGTATTTATTCATTAACCCTCATAAATAAAAAAAAAAACACAAATGACTATCTTATGTGAGAATATTTTTAGGTGTTTTCTTTGACAAGAGTATTTTTAGAAATTATTTCAACTTTATATCTAGTTTAATTTTTATCTATCACAAATATTTATAAATTAAATTTTACTTTTTTAAAAATAATTTATCAAAAAATTAAAATAATCGCGTGTTACAATAAATATTATTTTCATCAATCTAAAATATATTTTATATATTTAAAAAATACAGTTATTCAAATTTTAAATATAATTTATATATTTAAATATAATATTTATTTATATACATTTTTTATTTTAAATTTTAGTTATATATAATAATCATTTAACTTGTACATTACACATGCTAAATATACTAGTATAAATGTGTATTCAAATAATAATAAATCTTTTGTCAATTACTAACAAGTTATTGGTTCAAGTGATAGTGTGACCCGACTGAATTTCTTTAAATAAAATATTGAGTTTGAGTATTGTGGACAAAAAATGGTTAAAATGGGAAATCTTACTAGTTAGATTCCTCGACAAAGATAAATTAATTATTCACATAAATGATAGATATTTTGTACCAATTAATGACATGTTTACTAAAAAAAAATTATTTTATCAATTAAAATTATTTTTAAAAGCCTTAAATTTTTTTGTATTCATATTTTATGAATTATTTTTTTCTATTTGATCCATTAGAATCACAAAGACAATATTAGAGTTTGAACTTAAAATCTTTTACATATTATCTCAATTCCTACCACTAGATCAATCTTAATGATTCTTTTACGCATTAGTTTATATTTTTGTTATCAATAAACTAAAAATTTAGATATTTCAAATATATATTATTAAAGACTCTGTTTTTTTTATTTTAGTTCTTAGAATAATTAATTAGAAAATTACATGTGAAAGTTGATAACCAATGAACATTTAAGTGAATTAATTAATTACACAAAGTTTAAATAACTATACTACCTCAAATTTAAATAATTTATTGCACACTACTTTTTTCTTATTTAATTTTTTTAATTGAATATTCAAATAAAAAATATTTTTAACAGCAAAAGAATAATAAAACAATGTTTAGATTTTTTATTTGATTATCTAGTGTACTATCCGTACTGCCATGCCGAGCTCGAACTCGGTATCACAGCGTGGAATAACCTCGGGCACGCACTGGGAGATCTCGGCCTAAGCGAGATCCACAATCTAATCAGATCATAACTGATCTCGGAGATCTCGCTCCAGAAGAGATCCGCAATCTAATCAGATCATAACTGATCTCGGAGATCTCGCTCAAGATGAGATCCGCAATCTAATCAGATCATAACTGATCTCGGAGATCTCGCTCAAGATGAGATCCGCAATCTAATCAGATCATAACTGATCTCGGGGATCTCGCTCCAGACGAGATCTACTATCTAATCAGATCATAACAGATCTCAGGCCCAAGGCCCAACACAACCCTAATTCACACAAAGGTACGTGCATTATTTATACGAGACTCATACTCCCACAAACACTAACTTGAGCATCAGAGTCTCTTTTGCACGTACCACCCCCATCTTGGAGCACTAGCGTACCCGTGAAGGAGGCTCACCGATCTTACCTGGCGGATTAGCTCTACAGCAGATTTTCGGTAAGAATATTTGGCGCCCATCGTGGGGCCGATCAAGACAGCTCTTATCGGCCACCTGTATGGTTTTCACCAGAAGCCACAACAGACGCGCAACAGACGACCTGGATCACTCAACTACCATGGATAGTGACGCAGCAACGTTTAGGAGGCTGATCGACCAGGTCGAACAGATGAGGCAACAACACACCGCCGACCTACAAAGCATGCGTGCCAAGCACGAAACTGATCTAGCGGCAATGCGCACCGCTAATGAAGCCGACCTAGCGGCACTACGCGCCGAGAACGAGCGCATTCGTGCCCAACTCCCTCGGCGTCCCTCAGATCAACCCCCTCTGCAGAGTAACCTGAATGAGGACGAAGGGCATTCGGTTTCTAAACCCCGAACTACGACCAGAGCACCGACTCCACGACCTGCCACGCATCGGTCTCATGCACCGACGCACAAGTCGACTCAGGATGTCAGCAGGGCCCCCACTCATGTCACAGAGGGTCAAGAAACTTTTCGCCGTCATCCTTTTGTGGATGGCATCATGGAGACTCCACTCCCCCGCAGATGGAAGCCTCTCCACCTTGATCGCTATGATGGCACGACGGACCCCGATGAACATATTGACCTGTATACGACCCAGGTAAACCTCTACACTAACAATGATGCTATCTTGTGTAGGGTTTTCCCGACCTCGCTCAAAGGGGCCGCACTCAACTGGTATACCCAGCTACCTGCCGAGTCAATTGACAGCTTCAACACTCTGGTCAGACGATTCACGGTGCAGTATGCAACGAGTCGACCTCACCTCGTAACGTTGGCTGCTCTGGCCAGCCTCAGACAGGGTGACGACGAACCACTACGGACGTTCATGGAACGTTTTGCGGGCATCTCGGTGAAGATTCGCAGCTTGAATCCCGAGGTCGCCCTACACGCCATGCTCATGGTGCTACTCAAAGAAAATCAAGCATCTAACTCTTAAACTATGTTTTGCACGATAAATGCAAAAAAGTTCAATTTTATAGTACTAAATAAAACAATAATCGTCCTGAAAAAACTATAATCAAGATTGTTTTCTTATTAACATATAAAAATTAACCATAGATCCAATTTTACTATAATTGAATTTTTATTTGATTTCTGGGATAGTAAAATGACTTTTTTCCACAAAAGATGACAAAAACAATTTATTTTTACAATGATATTTGAATTAAATTAAATTAAAAAACAAAAGACACTTGGCGAATTACATGAGAAGTGTGTAACGTGTTGTACCAACCTGGCTCAAAGTCGAGCTCAATCGATCCCATCAGACGAGCTCGACCGAGGTCACTACTTAATCTAGTCCAACTAAAGTAAATATATTTAACACCGAGGTGTCACATCAGACAAGCGAGATCAGTGATACACCTCGGCACATTAACAACACCAAACACGACTCAATCGAGGATACCCCTCAGAAAATAACTATACAGCAGTTACACGGTTACTCGGAAAACCACGAAAGGTAGTGATATAAGCATTACACCAGATTGGGAACACTACTAACTTATCTTCGGAGTCCTTTTTGCAGGTACCTCCAAGACGCTCGAACAAGGAGATCAGAGAGAGAGGAGACACCCCAGCGACCGATCTCATACGATCTTGGTTGGACCAGAACCAGGAAGACGACTTATCCGAGTTAAGAGTCCAACCTGATTCGTGTAAGTACATCTGGCGCTAGAAGGAGGGCTTGGTAAAAAATTTCCTTCGTCATCCTTATGGTTTCAACCCGAAGCCAAGCCAACACAGCGACGAGTACAGCTCATAGAAACACATCAAATATGGAAGACAATCCGGTTCTACGACGGTTACTCGAGCAGATAGAATTGATGCGACAGTAACATGCAGAAGCAATGGAGAATCTTTGTAAGCAACATGAAGCCGATCTCCAACAAATGCATGTTGAGCATGCTGCTTTCAGAACTCAATGGCAGCAACATCAGCCACCACACACACATCATGCCAGTCATGTCTCCCCTGCCACCGAAGAACATCATTCTTCCCCAGATCCTACTTATTCATCAAACCCAACTCGGACTCATCGTTCCGAACATACCCATATCAGTCGTCCGGTTGACGATCACCACTCGGTTCGTCGACACCCCTTTGTTGATGGAATCATGGAAGTTCCCCTTCCAACTACCTGGAAGTCGTTGAATATTGAGCGATATGATGGCACTACAGACCCCGATGAGCACATCGATGCCTATATCACTCAAATCAACCTTTACACAAACGGCGATGCCATCATGTGCCGTGTATTTCCGACTTCCCTCAAAGGCGCCGCTCTTAGTTGGTACACCCAACTGCCATCCAGATCGGTTGACAACTTCAACACCTTGGTATGACTTTTCTCCGCCCAATATGCCACTAGCAGACCACATCATATCACATCAGCCGCGCTCTCAAATTTGCGACAACAAGATGATGAGTCTTTGAGACATTTTATGGAACGTTTTGCCAACGTTTCTATAAAAATCTGCAATCTTAATTCGGAGGTCGCCCTTCATTTCATGCTTATGGCACTCAAACCTGGGCCATTTGTTGACAGTCTTTGCCGACATCAGCCGGTAAGCATGGATGAACTCAGAGCACGTACAGCTGGCTATATTCAAATGGAGGAACATGCCGAGTTTCGTAACTCTATCCGTGACAGTTTCACCACTAAGGGCGAGTCTAGTACCAGGGAAAGCTCAAAGGCTCATATTGATCAAAGATCAAAAAGACCTCGTCAATCACGAGGCCCTAGGTATGAATTTTACACACCTCTCAATGCTCCTCGTGTTAACATTTTGGAGGAAGCTAACCATGCAGATTTGATCTCTCTACCCCCATCGGCACACAATCCGGTCAACGCTGATAAGAGCAAGCATTGCCGTTATCATAGAAATCACGGACATACAACAAATGAATGCTGGAGCCTCAAAGATCAAATTGAGGAACTCATTCAAGCTGGCCAACTTGGACAATATATCCAACGCGGCCAAACTTCTCGTGGGGGCTTCCGAGGACGTGGAAGAGGACGTGGCAGATTTCCTGGCCGATATCAAGGACGATATCAGAATTATCAAGGACGATCTGAACAAAGCCATTTTCATCAAACAAACACGCGCGAGGAGAGCAAACCAAGTACAAACAGCGCTGACCCGCAGCATATGGATAAATCCTCAGAGGGAAATAACATACGTGGCGTCATCCATACCATCCCTGGAGGGTTTGCAGGAGGAGGAAGTTCTAACTCAGCCAGGAAGCGACATCTACGCATTGTCCAAAACGTCAACAATTTGCATAACTCGGGATCTAAGTCAGAAACTCCAACCCCTCCTATCATTTTCACAGATGATGACTATGAAGGTATCAGTTTGAACCAAGACGATCCAATGGTCATCTCAGTTGAGGTGGCCAATTGGGAGGTCCAAAAAATGTTGAAGCTTGACATTCCTCACAGTATGATTTAACCATACTCCGAGTCTCTCGTCGGGTTCGCAGGTGAGCGAGTTCATACTTGTGGTTTTATTGAATTACTAACTTCTTTTGGCACAGTTCAAAACTCAAGGAGAATCCTGGTGAAATATTTGCTGGTTGATGCTGCCACCTCTTATAACATCCTTATCGGGAGACCAACGTTGAATCAATTAGGAGCAGTCGTATCAACGCCTCATCTAACTATGAAGTTCCCAGACACTGATGGACACATAATAGCTGTAAAGGCTAATCAAAAAATTGTAAGGAAATGCTATGCTGAAAGTTTGAAGATTACACCCCTAAATCGTCAACCCGAGGTGTCAGCTTCTCCTGTCATTGCTCACATCGGTACAAGGGAAATGGCCGACTTAGATCCCCGAATTGATATGCATGACCACCAACCTGATCCCATTGACGAGTTGATTGAGTTTCAGATTGGCAAGAAGCCCAACCAATGCACCAAGATTGACAAACATATCGAACCTCAATCGAGGATACCCCTCAGAAAATAACTATACAGCAGTTACACGGTTACTCGGAAAACCACGAAAGGTAGTGATATAAGCATTACACCAGATTGGACACACTACTAACTTATCTTCGGAGTCCAACATCTAGTAATTTTTTTTAAATTGCTCTAAGTAACACTAAACAAATTATAATTAACATTAAATAAAGTGATAATATATATATATATATATATATATATATATATTCAAATCATAATTAATCTTTTAATCAATTGAAATTAATTTTTATAACTTCATAAATTAAAAGTTTTGAATGACTACATATGTGTTAGATATTTGACAAGCATGTTAATTGTCGCAAATAATAAAATATACATAAGTTCAATTATCGAATCTATATGTATTTGCGCAAAAACTAATTAATTTACTTTTTTTTATTAATAACTAAGATAAATGGCGGATTAGGTATTCGCGAATCCCGTCATACAAAGATTGCTTTACCGGAAAAACTTATTTGAAAATTTATTGATAAGTCGGAGACTCCATGGGTAAACTTCTTAAAGCACAAATACTTGAGAGATTACTCCATTCTTGCTCTCAAAAGGTCACATAACCATTCCTACACATGGCGCAGTATTCTGAATTTTCACCAAGGAACTAGTAAACCTTCTTAGGCTTGCTAACTGGAGTAGATCAATAACGGATTGGGACCTGCACTGGTTTAGCCTTCCTAATAGCATATAGAGCTCTTAGTTTTATATATTTTGAAACCCATGTGATCTTGCATGCATGAGGTTGCATCGGTTTTAGTTTTGGCTTTGTAATTGATAGCTTAATTTGTTTACTTTTCTGTATTTTTTTTAATTTCCCTTGTACCGAAGAAAAAAATCTAATTTAATGTGTTCATCAAACAAAACATGTTAAAGATTATTTGCATAAAGATACATAAATAATTTTTTAGGTTTTTTTAATTGATAAGTTTAATGATAAATGAAGCAAATTAAAAATATTGTAAAATTGAAGATAAAATATTTAGAGATTGATTTCACTTTTCTTATAGGTATCTTTATCGATTATTATTCAATTTCAGTAATTATTTAATTAATTTAATAACTAACAAAAATTGACTAATAAAACTTATTTTATCCTAGTCATAGTCAATTCATTATTGGTTAGGTGTATATCATTCTCATTCAAAAGAAAATCTCTTAAAATTTTAGATTTCAATCGTTGTCGGATACTATATAAGTGACACCAACCAAACAAATTTTAGCCCTCACATCTATTTTTACCTTTTTCTCTAGCATAAGTACAACAAATAATTCATCAAGAGATGGTAACAATTTCTGAAGTTTGGGGTTATTTAGAAGTGAATTGATGGAGGTCGTTTTTGTTTTATATAAGGGGAATTGCAAAGATCCAAGAGAATTCATTTAGTAATTTGGAGTTCTTAAACAACTTCAGACTTTGTTAGCTTTTCCCCCAACAAATTGATAAAGGACAACATGATATGCAATATAAATCTTTGTCACATGTTCAACTATATGCACAAATGAATTGGTCAAGTAGAAGAACTTAGCTTATTGAACCAAAATCTAATATGGATTTGGGCTATTCCTCATTACCACTTCTTTTAGGTAACGATGAGAGTGACTCGTCATTTTCAGCATGTAAACTTCTCTCAAGTTCTTTGTTTTCTTCCATATCACAGGCTTCAATAATTGAAAGTTGTTGAGATGCAAACTTCTTCTACTTTCTTTTTCAATTTTTTTGTTATATTAAGAGTACATAATCTTTATTTTTTTTGTCTAATTTGAACCTTTTACTTTTTAAAACGATGATGAGCCTATTTACATTGTATTTTAAGATCTAATAGGACAAAATGACCAAGTTAGATATCATACATTTCACTATGTTGCTATTATAAATCATGTGAACTTTGAATTTTACCATCAACCTAACTAGAGAATATAGTAAAACATATTAACTAAATTTCACTATACAAAAAGTAAAAATATTATATGTATTACAATTTAGCTAGTAAGATTATAATTTCGAAAGAGTCTATTAGTTACAAAATGCCATGAATGACTAATAAATCAAGTTGCACTCCCCAAGTTCCTATTCCAGCTGATACATGCCTAAAGGCCTAAACAAGAAATGGTTAAAATGATCGATGGATGACTTTGCAATAATCCAAATCAAATTAATCAAAAGTTGATAAGAGTCACCCACACTATTCGATCAACGCCTAATTAATATTTCCGATCCTTGTTTTCAATCACAATATATGCTATGCATGGCCAATCTATTCCACCACTGTAATATATAATTGAGAATTTCAATTCTTAATTATTTTCCATTCTTAAATACCTTATTGCAAATGTGTTCTTCATCGAAAGTTTTGGAAGCTCTTTCGTACTTTATTCCACCCATAATAATATATATCTCTCATGTACACTCGTTTTCTTTGCATTTTGCTCTAGCTTAACCTTATATCATTCTTTACCCACTTAATTTGCATACCATGGAATGTGTCGTAACCCCTCACATCAGTGTTAAAACTCTTCAAACCACTAAAACTCCAATCTAAAAAACACACCTTTTACACAACCTTCATTTTCTTCACCTATGTTGCTTGGACTTTTAAGTTATTTCAAAATGGTATCGAAGTCTATAGTCATTGCCCTTGGCGTTTTTATATATAATCATATGACAACTTCTTGTATGTTGGTTTTATGCTCCCACATTAATATCTACTTCTTTAACCTTGATACGAGGTTCACGTGCAAATTCAACACCATCTCTTGTGGTAACAAGATGCTTATATCACAACTCACGTGTGCACCTCATTGCCATTCTGGTAGATGTGATGCGTATGTTCACTGTTTATTTTTCACATCATGCAAACTATTCTTCATTAATTCCCAAGCACAAGTGCTTTATTTGTTTTTGTAAAAATAAAGTTTAAATTAAAATTTATTTTTTAAATATAAATAGCTACTTAATAAATATGAAATGTAATATTTTAGCCAGGAAAACATTTGTTTATATATAAAATGTTCACGTACCGTGTTTGTTTTTTCATGATCTAGTGAAAAAAGGTGTTATAACATATAATATAATTTACTAATAATACTATTATGTCTCGTTTGCTTTGGTGAAAAAGATTAAACGAAAGATCATTAATTATAATTATTTATATTTTAAAATTAAAAAACTAATAAAATGTAGTAATAGATTATTATACCTTAGTTTCCATAACTTGCTTGGAAGAAAAGGAGTTAAAGTATAAGTGTAGGTTCTGTTTTGATTCCACGGAGTAGTTGCGGTCGAAGAGAGAGAGAGAGAGAGAAAGAATATGGTGGCGCGCAGGTTTCAGGTGTTCCACAACGACTCTGACTTTGATCTCCATTACGACACAGACGATGGCTTCGAAGTGCTCCTCTTTCTCCATCTTTCTCACAACTCAATTTCACTATCAAACAAAAATCTAACTCATTCATTATTCCACTGTTGCAGGTTTTTCAATTCCAGCTTTACTCTCTCACTTCCGTTCCACCTCACCAGCAAAAGGTTCTGATTCCTCTCCTAAATTTCCGCATGCTTAATTGCGTATTCCTAAACATTGATTCTTTTCTTGAACTGCATAGCTTTATGGAGCCGAACAAGATACTCCACTGCTCGATGACTCTGATCTCATCGCCATTTCTGATAAACTACGACTCGTCTCGGTCAACGACTCCGAGCCTCAACCCGAACCAAGCGCTGCTGATTTGTTGAAATCCGATGAGGAATTGGCCAGACTCTTGCAGGTTTCACCTATTCTCTGTTCACTGTCATCAATTTCGGAAATGGATAGCGTTTCTATATGCGTCATCCGTGCAGGCAGAGGAGGAAGCGCTTATGTTGCAGCAGTATGTGGCGAACCAAAATCCTCAACAGTTTGAGAGTAGAGTACGGCCCTACGTTAGTCAAGTACTCATGGTATTTTTCACCTTTTTGATTTGCAAATATTTTTATCTTTTTAATTTCTTTTGAATAAGGAGAGCACGATATTTGGTTCATGGAGCTGCTTAGCATGTGAAAACCAGGGTTTGTTTTAGTGAAGTAGATAAACTCTAACTCTCTAACAAACGGTCTTCCATGTTGTCCTTATGAATATTGTTATGGCCCAGTTTGGATAGTTTTTTTCTATAAGCAACTATAAGGGAAGAAAATTAGAAGGTAAAATGAATCAAGTTTTTCTCATAAGTTAAAATTAACCGCGTAAAAGAGAAAGGTTCTATAAAATTAAGTACATAAGTTGATTTTAACTTATGGGAGAAGTTGAATTCATTTTACTTTCTTATTTATTTCTCCTATAAGTGCTTATAAAAAAGTTTATGCAAACAGGGGTAATATCACAACTGATTCCATCCTTCCATGTGCTCAACGTTTTGATGTATTGCAGTATGAGGATGAAAAGCGCCAGGAGGCTGCTCGGAAGTCCGTTCCTGTGGAAGAGCTCGAAGAGAAAGCATTGGTCTCTTTGGCCAAGGTAAGAGCGTTTATATTTCTCTTTCAAGAGAACATCTTAATTCATAGGACAAATGTGTAGTTTCATTTTAGAGGATTTTAATAGTGTTAACTAAAACCAGCTCTTTTACTGTAACTCTGTACAACTATTGTAGAAATTCATTTACCTTGGAATTAGACTTTTTCTTCATTTTGACAAGCACTGTGTGTGGATTGCAATGCTGTTGCCATTTCATAAGCATAGCCTTTCCTATTATGCTTTTATAAATCAGTAAGCCTGATAAACTTTTTCCAGGAGGGGAACTTCAAGCCATCGAAAATAGAACAAGATCATGCTTTCCTGCTGCAGCTTCTGTTTTGGTTCAAACAATCCTTCAGGTTTAAACTGGTTATTATGTTGGCTATTCTGCTTTAATTAGTTCCAAATGAACCAAACATTTCAATGGACAATAACTCCATAAGGGAAGAACAAAGTAGACCATAGGTCTCATGCTTCATTAAATTGCTGACTTATCTGTGATCTAACTCAAATACAATTCATGCAATGTTCGTGGCTGAGTTATATATTTTACTTTGTCACTGTATACCTGTTCTCTTTTTCCATTTGCATCTGATTCTTTTCTTCTTCTTTCTTTCTTTTTCTTGTTCTTGTCAAATAGATGGGTGAATTCACCATCTTGTCATGATTGTGGCAACCAAACTGTAGGCCAGGGCATGACGACTCCACTTCCTCCTGAGACTCTTTATGGAGCTTCTAGGGTTGAACTCTATCGGTATGAACATTGAATGTCTGCTTTAGTGAGAAATTACTCCATTTTCCTTATACTGAAATAAGGAAAATGACTTTGCTAATTACCATAATTATATATATCTTAATTTTCTTATGACATGCATTTGAACTAATTGTAAACCTTCTTTAAGATATAGTTAATCAACGGATATGCCTGCAACATATTTTTACTATATTAACTTAATAGTTTCTTTAAATTTGAAAGAATTATATTTATCAAGAAAAACAAACTGTTTCCTGTTTGATTTTATGTAGAACAGGTCTTTGCTAGCAAATCCTATTTTTATATGAATGGAATTATTCCTCCATTACATATTACATATCTATTTACATTTTACAGTTAGGAGATCTGGTGATAACAAATTAGTTTGGTCATTCTTACTTGGATTTTGTCCTTTCGCTTATAAAGCATTTTAGAAAGTTTTTGCTTATGTTCACTAACTTATAGATTTTTCCTGTTATTCACATCTATCTTTTCACAACCCAGCTGCACCTTTTGCTCCAAACCAACTCGCTTCCCTCGGTACAATGATCCAATAAAGGTATTCAATTCATGTCAAATTGTTATAATTTACATTTGATCAACTGCCAATCCAACTGCTATGCCAATCACATTTACTTTGGATACTGATGTTCCATTCTCATTAACTCTGCAGCTTGTGGAAACAAGAGAGGGCCGCTGTGGGGAATGGGCCAATTGTTTTACACTCTATTGTCGAGCTTTTGGCTATGAGTCACGTCTGGTCTGTATCTTGATTTAATTCAGTCTGTTTATTTTTCTGGTTATTTTTAGTTTTAATCTTTGAGCTACATATTTTGTGGCATGGCACATGATGATTCTGATATTACAAATGAAGTGCCAAATGTCTTGTGTTAAACATCTACTTGACAAAATCTTGTCCTTTGGTAACTGGTTTAATTTTTAGTTTTACTTACATGAAATATATGTTCAGTTCACATGTATTAGGATAAAAAAAAGAAGAAGTTATGCTTGATATTCTAATTAAATTCCTATCTGTAAGAAAAAGATAGCCAAGGTATAGACTTGTAAGTCTAAATTCAATTCTTGAATTTAGCTCATTTTCTTATCAGGAACACGTTGCCCTTTACAGTATTTTGGTGCTGGTGTTTGTTGATACATATGGAATGATTGGGTATTGTGTAATGATGTCAGTACAGTTTTGCCAGTGAACTTTATCTATGGAAAATTGAAGTCTGTTAAACTTTTCTTTGCATATATTCTCAACCTAGGGTATACATGTGCTTGTTTTTCTTGTGATTTTTGAGGAATGGGTTTCCTGTCACTGACTTTGGTTGATCTCCAGATCTTGGACTTCACAGATCATGTTTGGACAGAGTGCTTCTCTCAATTCTTGGGAAGGTAAACACAAAAGTTGCTGGTTATCATAAACTGCTCTTAAAACTATTTCTGGGCAGACGTTTTTGTTTCTGAAGATCTACAATCTTACAGATGGATGCATCTTGACCCATGTGAAGGAATCTATGACAAACCATTATTATATGAAAAAGGGTATTATTCATTTATGCATCACTTTCTCTTTACTGTATTCATTGCTATCATCCATCTAATAGACAGTGAGAAAATAGTTGTTTTTGTCCTCATTAGGAGTCCATCTTGATTTCATGTTTCCTCATTTTTATTTTTATTTTTAAAATATATGGCATAGGTGGGGGAAAAAATTGGATTATGTAATAGCCATAGCGAAAGATGGTGTTTATGATGTCACCAAACGATACACAAGGAAGTGGCATGAGGTAGGTTTTACAATTTATGCTTGTTCTGTCTCTTTGTTCTCTTGATATGAAAGCTTTTTTTCACATGCACAAGGATCCTGTTTTGCTTATGATTTATGATGAATTTTTGTATCTTTTTCAAAATTGAGGTCCTATCTCGACGTACTATGGTTACAGAGCCTTCTTTGTCAACTGTACTCGCTAATATAACAAAAGAAAGTCGAAGAGGCTTTGCATCTCAACTACTTTCAATTATTGAAGCCCGTGATATGGAAGAAAACAAAGAACTCGAGAGGAGTTTACATGCTGAAGAGGATGAGTCACTCTCATTACCTGGAAGAAGAAGTGGGAATGAGGAATGGCGTAAATCCAGATTAGAATTTGGTTCGGATAATCTAAGTTCTTCTACTTGCCCAGTTCGTTTGTGCATAGATGAGCATGTGACAAGGATTTATAATGCATTCCATCCTATCCTTTATCAATTTGTTGGGGAAGAACTAACAAAGTCTGAAGCTGTTGAAGTACTCAGGATTACCAAAGGAATTCTCTTGGATCTTCGCAATTTCCCCTATAAAACAAGAAGGGCCTCCATCAGTTCAGTTCTAGATGACCCAAAATTTCAGAAACTGTTGCCATCTTTTGATGAATTACTTGGTGCTCTTTCACTGGAGAAGGTGAATACAGATGGGAGAGTTGAAATTTGTTTGGTTGGTGACCCTGTAGTAACTTCTTTAGCATTGCCTGTTGCGCTAGATGCCCTGGATGACATGATTTACAATCTTAACAAGTGTGAAAACTATGGGAAAGATATGTTTCTGTTGCCACTTCTAAAGTTAAATAGAATACATTCCGGTTCAGCCATTGCAAGTTCAGAGGAGTTGCCTTTTGGGATTGTGAGTTTGTATATAGCTGGCTTTTTTATATGTTTACCATACTTGTGCCCTATAGCATCCATAAAGTTGTTCCTGTTTTATCAAATTTCAGATAACAGCAGCATTTGATGGAACTCGAAATTCTAAATGGGAAGAACCGAATGGAGCAAAAGGTATAGTTAACCAAATAAATAACTTAGAACAGATTCTAGTTCAAGCTTACACATAATTCTATAGAATATATTAAGGTGTTGCTTTATTTCACCGGCAATGGAAAAGCATGATTTCTACTCTCCCATTAGAAAAAGAACAAGTTGCCATATGTCACCTACCATATGATTATACTATATATACTTACTTCCATTCTTGAAGAAACTTTATTAATGGATATTTTATTTATTGTAACTCCATAGTGGATGATTTTTCTGCCAGCTACATCCAACTATCTTATCATATGGTGACTACGTGGCTTGGTATTTTTCTTTGCAAGTATTTTGTCCTAGTCCTTCAATCTTCTCATTTATATTTCCTTACCATCAATCTTATTTTATAAATAGATTGTGTGGAAACCACCCCACTTACAATTTATAGTTTTAAGCTACTAAATGTTAGTAAATTGACTTTGTCTAGTTGGTTTCTCTGCACTGTTATGTAAATGTAATTCCATGTTAAATCACTCATTCTTTGGAGTTTTGCGTTGTTTGTATTCTGTCTTTAAAGACATAGATTCTAAGATTAATGAAAAATAATCCGTAGTTATTCTTCAATTTTGGATTTTGGGTCTAACTCGACACCAAAAGCTAAACTCTAGAGGTGAGAGTTGGTCTCTCACTTATATACACTATTTTAGTCATAATGTCATATTACTAGTCTATGCGTCTGTTTGGTTCAACTAATTTTGAACATATAATTGTTTATTTTTATTGACTTCATAATAATTTTTTTGAAAAATAAGCAATTATTTCTAAGAGATAAGTTATTCCTAAACACTCATTGTGTGGGACCTTTAATACACTCTTGTTGAGGACTAGATATCTCGATTATCAAGTTTGTAGGACTAGATCTGTGGATAGCTAAAGAATGGCCTGATAACAATCACAATGATAAGTTCTAATATCATCTTAGAATTTGGGTTTGAACCTAACTTAAACCCAAAAACTAGCTCTAGAGGTGAGCAATTATTTATGATAAATAAGTTGTTCCCTAACACCCACTATATCTTCAATACACCTCACTTGTGATAAGGCCCATATATCTCAAGTATGAAGTTTGCAAAATTAGACATGCGAATAGTCTGATAATGGGTGGTATGGTAGGTTCAACTAGGCATGGCAACGAGACGGGACGGATACAGGTTTCACTGTCTCTGTTCTCGTACCCTATATTCATCCCCATTCCCATATTTGACGAAAGTGAAATTTGTGTTCTCATCTTCGTTCTCGTCGGGTATTGGATATTTCTGTACTCACCTTGTATCTGTTCAAAATTTATTTTTTTTCAAAAAATATTTAAAAAATAAGAATTTCAACATAGAGTAGCAATTACAAGATTACATTAAGTTTTTTTTTTACATAAATTTAAAATAAAGTAAGAATTACATAAATGTTAAGTAAATTTTAAAAAAATAAAATAAAATTCTAGAAATTGAAAGCAAGTACGAGTATGGGATGGGTAAGTATATACTTATCCCCGTTTCCGTACTTGATTTAATATCCGGCAGTGTATCAATGAGGAGGCTTGTGGAAGGAGAATGCTGAATGTTTATAGTCCTTGGTATTTATTTATTTATTTATTTTTATCTTTTCTGTTTCTGAATAATTGTTTTCCAGAGGACTTTCCTCTGTTCTGAGGGACTATGCTCCCGTTTTGTTAGATAAATAATGTTCAGAGATTTCCATTCCTTACCAAAATGCTAGTGTCAAAAGTGTAATTTCGTTTTATTGCTATTTTCCGCCTCATTTTAAAGGTGCAGACACTGCTTTCTTGATGCTGATTTCAAAATATTGTTATACATCTGACTGTGTAGGTTGTTGGATCATGTATAGAACATTTGATAACAAGATGGTTGAGCTTGTAGCATATGAGTTGATGTCAGCTAATGATGCACCAGAAAGGGATCCAATGGACTGGTACGAGAATAATGGGATATATATGCTAAACTACTCCTGATTCTTTCCATTGTTATTGTTGTTATTATTATTAATTTAGTCAAGTTACTCTGCCTTACCTTTTAGCGTTCTCCAATCCTAGTAAGCTTCATCATTCCAAATTAAAGTAATGCAACTACTTCTCCCTCCACATATGATTAACCTTGAATAAATTGTTTAAATTTAATTGTAGTAATTTAAAACTTACTGTCTTACTTGACTGTAGTAACTTCAATTTTACTTTCAGAATAGACTTAAAATGTTTTTTAAACAGCTGGCACACTATAGCTATTGGTAGTATAAAATTTATGCTGTCATTTTATCAAAATCAAATCCTTAAAAATAACATGGAATCCAAGCTGAGCTAAGCCAATTGTGCCATACGAGTGTGTCCTGCTTTTGATCTACCTGTCAGCAACCAGTTGCATATTCTGTTAAAGTCTGTCTTTTTTTCCTTAGTAACTGGTATGTTTCGTTCTCAGGGTTCTTGAAGGGAGCAGTGATGACGGGATCAGCTGGCAAGTTTTGGACAAGCAAGCCTCTCAGTTCTTTGAAGACCGTTTCCAGCGCAGAACATACATAATCAGTTCTGCAAGTTTCCCGTGTAATGTTTTCAGGTAATATACCATAACTCACTGGAGAAACTTGAGCGAAAACTTTGGAAGTGGGGACTGGGGATGATAGAGTAAACCAGTTGAATCTATTTTTCTTTATTAAAATAATTATTATGTTTTATACTTTATGGAACAAAAATAATGTATATGCTTATCTTTTAAACCGTTTAAAAAGTATATACTTCTCTTAAAATAGCTTATACAAAGAGTTTTGAAACATTTCGACAAATGAATAGTTTTTTTTTTTTTTTTGTATAAAATTTAAACATGAGTTAAGAATTTTATTTCAAAGATTCTTGTTCTTTTTATATTTTAATTATTTTTATTTGTGGTAAGTCTACATATGCTGGGCTCACAAAATTAGAAAATGATAATTAACTTTATCATTTTTCCTTTATCTATACCTTATTTAAATGTAATGATTAATTTCATTTTATAAATTATTTTTTTAGTAAACATGACCTTCAAATGAATATATTCTAAAGTGAGATGGCAATTAAGAGTAGAAGGTTACATGTATTAATTGCATTTACGTGGTTTAGTTCATGGTCGAGATTGTGATTTTATGATTGATTATTAATTGGCATCCGATGAATCTCTCAAATTCTTATTCTTTCCAAATCACAAAAAGTTTGTCTTTGCAGGTTTAGGTTTCTGGCAGTTAGAGATATTCGGTCTACTTCCCGGCTGCAAATCGGTAGCATTGACTTCTATGCTAAATCTAAATGAAATATAGGTAAATTGCGAGCTTAATTGAGCAAATTTTTTATGTCTACATTTCTTCTCAGTTTAAGAAATGAAATTAAATTTGTCTATACCGTTAAAAGAATCCCATCACCGTGGATGAATATCATCTAAAGGAGGAGGCAAACTAAAACTTCATGGTTTGGGTGTACAATTAAACACCATACATAACAGTATTGTTATTCATACTGGTCAATGTTTTCAATAGAATTAGAAAAGTTATGTGGGACAGCCTAGATTTTAAATTATTTTATCAACTTGCCTTAGCTAGAGGTTTTACTTATTCTTTTGGCAGCCTATTGCAACTTGTGTTCTATCTCCTATACAATGTTACTAAATGATCAAGTTCAATTGTACTGAAATATCTTTTGAAGCATTTGAACTTTCCGGGGTAGTATTTCCCTCTATGGATTTGTTTCTCCCGGAAGTTATTTGCATTTGATTGATGTTGTCCTACTATATAGCTACTTTACAATGGGGTGGTTTTAATGCCATAACCGATGTCTTCCATTCGTATTTGAACAATTGTTTAAAAAATATGTGCACATCCTTTGAAAAATGAAAAGACTTAAGTTCCGAGACCCATTTTATTCTGCATGTAATAGGGATTTACCGGTCTCACAAAATTTCACGTTTTTGCACGCTAGTATCTGAAATATACTTTTAATAGGTTTCAGGAACAAATAATTCAGCAAATTTATAGGCTTGTGCTAAAAGTGTGTACAAATTCGAAAGAGTCGTGATGAAATGAGTACACCTTGGTCTTGATGGCAATGGTATAGAATTAACAACTTACAAGTAAAACATATATAAAGCAAAAACATCTTATCCGCATCTCTCTCCAGATGCAACTATCACATCGTAACCCTGTTAACCAAGTAAGCTCACAGGGATAACACACCTGCAAGGTGTTTGATGAATAGATAGATTGTAAAATTATCAAAAAATTTAAAAAGTCACAGCCCAGACCCAATATGCAAAATAAGCAGCCATGACCTAAATTATTTACAGTCCACCCAACTCATAGTGCATTTTGAATGTACGCGCACTAGCATTTCTTGGACTACGTTTGCTTTGTCAACAACAAACTGAAAATCACATTGTTGGCCTTCTTGAATGTTGTTACTCCGCTGGAAAACAGACCATCCACTTCCCAAAAAATAACGATCTCCGAACCCTGCAGTAATGATCACCGGCCATAATGTGTCATTCTCATCTCTCAGATTTATGATCCTATTCGGCATCAACTTGATATTCATTTTCCTCAGCACTCTTCTTGGAAGTTCCTGCATCCCACCAACACCAATTATATCATCCAATCTAACTCACCAAACTATTTTATTACAGAAACCGAATTGAGCAAGAATATATATCCTACATTATCTCAAAGTCAAGGTATGATGAGTTGAAAATCAACTGTGGAGAGACACTATCCATGTTAGATACATATTCGGCAAATTATGTTTGTTATTTGCTTTCCTCTTTTTCTTAAAGATTGCATACTCAAAAATCATTAAAAAAAATGATTTTGGTTATAGTGTATTTGGTACGCTTTAAAGTTGCTTTCAACTTATCTGAGCACATTCCTATAATGTTCTACACCATCTACATACATAATATGGGAAAGTAATTTCTCCTCATAAAATGCACTATTCTGAAAATACAGTTCAGTGCCAATTACTGAAACAAACATTTTCATTTAAGTAAAATTGTTTTACACATTATCATCGAACATATAATACTTATAATTTTTTAAGTAATTTTTGTAAAAGTCAATAATAAATTTATTATACTTGGTGAATTATGATTGAATGATAGTGTGAAACATCTTTATACTAACCACTTTTTTAAGTCTCCAAGCAGCATCAAAATATATCTGAAAATGAGGATTCTGCAATGGAACACACTTGGTCAGACAAGGTTTCTTCTCATGGTGGTTATCATTTTCTTCAGCAACTCTTGTTGGTTTGCACCGAGATTCTTCGGATGGACGTATACCTATGAACATTAAGGACATAGAGTTGCCTTTAGCTTAAGGATAACAATGAGATGAGGCAATACAAATACTTAAAGTAAACAACTGACCCTCTAACACTGATTTCTCATCTGTTTCCTCTAACACTGACTTCTCATTTGATTCCTTTAACACTAATTTCTCATTTGTTTTGAGACTTGGCGATGAGTGTTTCCGTTTACAACCGCGCTGAATTTTATTACTACGCAGATCAGAATCCTTATTCAAAATCACAGAGGGAACAATCTTTTCACAACTTGAAGGTGCAGCTACTTTCCTGCATCCGGTTCTCGAAAATATCTTCACATTAAACGTAGACTTGCCATCATACTGAAAAACCAAGAAGTCCTCTTCTTCTAAACCTTTCTCCTTGGCAAATTGCTGCCACCCATTTTTAAAAACCAAGCGACCCTCGATTTTCTCCAAGTAAATATCCCAGAAATTTCTATCATGGTCTACAAGAATTGTCTTGCATGGCGTGATTCCATTGAAGAACTTGGTGAAAGATGTGGGTAATTTCTAAAAAACGAACAAATCCCCATGAGTATCACTGTCAATTACACAAAATTGACATTTGCTAAGCATAAAATATCAGACAAAATTAGCAAACATTAAAACCTATTCAAGAGAATATGAAAGTTGTTTTAAATTGTGGTTAACAATTCCTCCTACACTATAAATTAAACAACACAGCACACTTAAATGGGACTCTCTTTTAGATATTATTTTATAGGCTTTATTATATTTTGTGTCACAAACTTTTATTTTCTCACAAATTTTGCCCTCGAATTTTAATAATATTGTGAATTATATCTCTTTGTCAATTGTCCATTAAAATACAAATAAAACATTGTGTTTAATTATATTTTGTACACTAAACTATTACGGTCACAAAATTTACCCTTAAATAACTTTTTCACAAATTTTAGTCCTCAAATTTTGAAAATGTTAAGAATTGTAACCCTTCATCAAACCAAACTATACTTGACATGATTGTAAACAATCATTTTAAATTTATATTAATATTCAGATAATTCATATATATCAAATAATTCAATTCGTTAATGCAAATGTCTCATATATTACTATATATATCACATATTAATACAAATATTACATGTATTTATAAATACTACATAAATAATTTAAATTTTTAAGAAATATATTGATGTACTAACTTTTTCTTTTAATATTATCGAGTTGTTTGACATCTATATTAGTTAGGAATGAAAATAACCATTCTACTCAACAAGAGCCTATAACCTAACCTACATTAGGCCTAAGTTAATCATTTTAAGCTATTACTTTTATAATTTTTTCTAAATGAAATTTCAATAACTTTTTTTTAGAAAAGATTATCAATAATTAAAAATAACTTTCATCACAATTTAAACTGTTCATCACAAATATCAATAGTTGTAACAAATTATTCGAATATATAAATTATAATTGAAACTTGTAATAATTAAATATTTTAAAACTATTTTAAATTTACAATAAAAAAATTATACTGTGATACAAGGTTATTTATTATTGATAATTTATTAAAAATATTAAAATTCAATATAGAAATAATGATGAAAAGAATAGATTGAAATTGATAAGATTAGAAATTCCTTAAAAATATTATCGTTAATGAATGATTCCTAAAAATATTGTCATCCAATGTAGCTATTCGAATTTTTATATATAGGGAATTACAATTTTTAATTAGATAAAGAAAGATAATCCCTCTATAAAAAAAAAACGAAAGATAATTTGATATGATTAAGAAAAAAAAATTCAGCTAATTGCTCAATTAACATGAAATGCACATCAAAAGAAAATTATTAAAAATATTTAATTCAGAGAATAGTGAAAGATTTTTTTTATCTAAATTATATATTCTAATTTATAATATAAAATAGATTTAAATATGTTTCTAGTTATTTAAGATGATTTTTTCAGTCTCTCAAATTTAAAACTAATCTTTTAAGTTATTATAATTTCAAAAAAAATCTATTTTAATTCTTAAACTCAAATTTTTGTTTATGAGTTTGTCAAATATTGTACTAGAATTTTATTAATGAAAACATCACATTAAATTACATTAAACTCAATTGATGGTGTATAAATGTTTCAATATTAAACTCAACTGTATAAATATTTTATTATGACACTTTCAGATATATTATTTGTAATTTGAGGGGTTAAAACATGTAATTTTATCTGAGAGATTAAAAATAAATTTATTAGAAACTAAGGGGGGTGTATTGGTTTAGGATTTCGTAGTGCGGCGACGCCCCTTTGTTGATGGAATCATGGAAGTTCCCCTTCCAACTACCTGGAAGTCGTTGAATATTGAGCGATATGATGGCACTACAGACCCCGATGAGCACATCGATGCCTATATCACTCAAATCAACCTTTACACAAACGGCGATGCCATCATGTGCCGTGTATTTCCGACTTCCCTCAAAGGCGCCGCTCTTAGTTGGTACACCCAACTGCCATCCAGATCGGTTGACAACTTCAACACCTTGGTATGACTTTTCTCCGCCCAATATGCCACTAGCAGACCACATCATATCACATCAGCCGCGCTCTCAAATTTGCGACAACAAGATGATGAGTCTTTGAGACATTTTATGGAACGTTTTGCCAACGTTTCTATAAAAATCTGCAATCTTAATTCGGAGGTCGCCCTTCATTTCATGCTTATGGCACTCAAACCTGGGCCATTTGTTGACAGTCTTTGCCGACATCAGCCGGTAAGCATGGATGAACTCAGAGCACGTACAGCTGGCTATATTCAAATGGAGGAACATGCCGAGTTTCGTAACTCTATCCGTGACAGTTTCACCACTAAGGGCGAGTCTAGTACCAGGGAAAGCTCAAAGGCTCATATTGATCAAAGATCAAAAAGACCTCGTCAATCACGAGGCCCTAGGTATGAATTTTACACACCTCTCAATGCTCCTCGTGTTAACATTTTGGAGGAAGCTAACCATGCAGATTTGATCTCTCTACCCCCATCGGCACACAATCCGGTCAACGCTGATAAGAGCAAGCATTGCCGTTATCATAGAAATCACGGACATACAACAAATGAATGCTGGAGCCTCAAAGATCAAATTGAGGAACTCATTCAAGCTGGCCAACTTGGACAATATATCCAACGCGGCCAAACTTCTCGTGGGGGCTTCCGAGGACGTGGAAGAGGACGTGGCAGATTTCCTGGCCGATATCAAGGACGATATCAGAATTATCAAGGACGATCTGAACAAAGCCATTTTCATCAAACAAACACGCGCGAGGAGAGCAAACCAAGTACAAACAGCGCTGACCCGCAGCATATGGATAAATCCTCAGAGGGAAATAACATACGTGGCGTCATCCATACCATCCCTGGAGGGTTTGCAGGAGGAGGAAGTTCTAACTCAGCCAGGAAGCGACATCTACGCATTGTCCAAAACGTCAACAATTTGCATAACTCGGGATCTAAGTCAGAAACTCCAACCCCTCCTATCATTTTCACAGATGATGACTATGAAGGTATCAGTTTGAACCAAGACGATCCAATGGTCATCTCAGTTGAGGTGGCCAATTGGGAGGTCCAAAAAATGTTGAAGCTTGACATTCCTCACAGTATGATTTAACCATACTCCGAGTCTCTCGTCGGGTTCGCAGGTGAGCGAGTTCATACTTGTGGTTTTATTGAATTACTAACTTCTTTTGGCACAGTTCAAAACTCAAGGAGAATCCTGGTGAAATATTTGCTGGTTGATGCTGCCACCTCTTATAACATCCTTATCGGGAGACCAACGTTGAATCAATTAGGAGCAGTCGTATCAACGCCTCATCTAACTATGAAGTTCCCAGACACTGATGGACACATAATAGCTGTAAAGGCTAATCAAAAAATTGTAAGGAAATGCTATGCTGAAAGTTTGAAGATTACACCCCTAAATCGTCAACCCGAGGTGTCAGCTTCTCCTGTCATTGCTCACATCGGTACAAGGGAAATGGCCGACTTAGATCCCCGAATTGATATGCATGACCACCAACCTGATCCCATTGACGAGTTGATTGAGTTTCAGATTGGCAAGAAGCCCAACCAATGCACCAAGATTGACAAACATATCGAACCTGATGTCCAAGGTAAAATCATGTCAATACTTTATGAAAATGCTGATCTTTTTGCATGGAGTAGTGCAAATATGTCTGGGATAGATCCCAATTTCATTTGTCATCGGTTAGCCATCCACAGAGAGGCACGACCTATATCTCAGAAGCAAAGAAAAATTGGCGGTGAAAGAAGGGAAGCAGTCAAGGCCGAAACGCAAAAGCTTTTGAATGTCGGGTTCATCAGAGAAATCAAATACACCACTTGGTTAGCCAATGTGGTAATGGTTAAAAAATCTAATGGCAAATGGCGTATGTGCGTTGATTACACTGATTTGAATAAAGCCTGTGAATATTGAGCGATATGATGGCACTACAGACCCCGATGAGCACATCGATGCCTATATCACTCAAATCAACCTTTACACAAACGGCGATGCCATCATGTGCCGTGTATTTCCGACTTCCCTCAAAGGCGCCGCTCTCATGCTTATAGAATATCATGTTTAAGAAATCAATTATCAAGCAAGAGAAGGGAGAGTAAGAAAAAAACAAAAAAAAAAAGAGGTAACAAAAAAAAAACAAGAGCAGGGAGAAAATATTATTTCTCTCATTCCATTTAGGGGAAAAAATGCACCCATTGATTAAAGATCAGAGTAAAATCAAATATCAACCAATCTAATTAATTTAGTTTAAATTGTTTTGTTGATCAAGTGAATTCGCTCTGATGAATACCTTGTTGAAAGCAGCATAATACAATTACAGACGAGTTATTGTACATTGTATCAAATAATACCTTGTTTTTGTGATTCTTTGACACTAGAGAAAGACATAATGCATAAATAAGAAAAGACTGCAAGAATTGAAAGCAAAAGAGAGAGATAAGAGTATACCAACTGGGAAGAACCTGTTTGGAGCAGGAAAACTTTAAAGAATTCTTGTACTATGCTTTTATCGCCGCAACAGGGCACTGCGCTCTCCATGCTTTCAATAACAATGCGAGAGATAGCGGAGCAGAAACCACAAAGGACCGGGCGTCAAATATTAATATTTGTTAGCATTAATTTATGGAAATTGATAAAAGGCAACCGATGAAAATCTTGCTTCTTTTTAAAAGATTGCGTTACATATACGGAGTTATTTCTCTACCGATAAATTAGGGTGTCATGGTATACTCAATTTTTTAAATTAATAAAAATAATATACAGTGTGAATTTTTTTTTTATTTTTTTTATTAAGTGATGTGTTATTAACAAATAAATGATTTAGATAATTAATTAATTTTTTTTCTTATCAAATATTGATGCGTACTTTGAATTGTTTTGTAAAAATTAAAATAACTTTAAAAAAATACAAAAAAAAATTATTTGACAAAGTAGTGAGAAATTCTAGGAATTTTTTATTCAACATGATCCTTATAATTCATACACAAATGTAAAAAATCTCAATTTATCATAAATTATAATATATATAAAAATATCCTTATTAAATTCAAATATTTCATTATAAAAAAAATCAAAATTGTATCATAAAATTAAAAATAATTTTTGTCTAAAAAAGGTGAAATCAATCAAAATATAAGAATTGAAAGGATTAAAATGAACATTTTAAAAAATATAAGGACACATACAAAGGTGCATTATAAGATTACTTCAAAAAAAATACAAAATTTAAAATATTTTAAGCATACTATTTTATTTTTTTTTGAAAAAATAAGATACTAAAAGCTCATTTTCTGGCCAGATAAGATATAAAAGTTGATCAAATGAACAAAAACAAAATAAGAATATCATAAACTGTTATTTGATGTTTGGAGCATTATTAGATAATCTCTCATGTATAAGATCACATAATATCAAGATATGGTAATTGTTTGAACTTTATATATATATA